CGCCGCCGCTGACGCGGGGTGTCGATGAGAAGGCGCGCGTCGTCATCACCGTGGTGGTGGTGGTGGTCGTGGTCGTCGGGGCCGCTGCGGATGTGGTCGTGGTCGTGGCCGTGCGCTGGACCGCGCGGGCGGCGCGGAGGCACGATGAGGGCCGGAGGGGAGGCATTGTTTCCTGTTTGTCTTTCGGGTCACGTTAGTGTTCGATATCAATTGGAGGGAAGGAGGATCAGGCGTACCTAGCTAGGCCGGCCGACAGAGGGGAATGGAGGGTGGTTTTAGTTTGCGGAGTGGTGCGGGAGTCGCAGCTTGTGACTGACTGAGTCTGATTGAATGCTGTCGCTTGAAGCTCGCCCCCAGACCCGTGAACGGGGCGCTCCAGTGCACGTGCCATTATTCACGTGATCTGGCACGGGACTTTGCCAGTGACCCTAGCTCTGGCTTTAGTTTTTGTTTTCTGGGTGTACGTGAACGGCGACAGACCAGTCACCACTGGGTGAAAACAACATGACTACGTTCTATCATACCGGTATATCGAAACATGTTTCAAGGTATATGCATCATTCTATGGCAAAAAATCATGTCCTAGAATTTGTCCTCGAGGCGTGCCAAAGACACCTTCCATCCGTCAGTCGACAACAAAATGCCTGATCCTCCCTGAATGGGGAAATGATAGAAGGCCCCAAGAGAAGAGAGAAAAGACAAAGAAAAAAAATGTAGGAAAAAAGAATGACCAATGTTGGAATCGAAACAGTTCCTCTGCAACCTGTCCTCTATGCTAGAGAGTGACGCCCGCGTCGGACGGGCTGAGGAGCGCTCCGAAATGTGCACCCTACGGAGGGGAAGTCAGTGTGCTGCCAACTACACCACTGGGCCGTCAGTTTTTGTTGGAGGGGGATGTGAAATGCTCACTGATATACCAGCCGGTGCCATCAGTGTCTCGGTTGGGTTAGTGCCATCGACTCCTTGTAGTAGCAGCGCACTTGAATTCTGCCAACCTTCATTCTCAATATCCATGGTGCACCTACAAGCCCTTGATACCTACTCCTTCCTCTTCAACTTCAAAATCTCACTCAACCTCAGGATACTCTTCGCCCCCCAGCCTGCCGGGCCACCGTCTACCTCCGGCCTGACAGCCGTATACCAGCCCCAGGCCCTCCTATCTAGCTCTGCCGGCGCGAGATGATCTGCCCAGCTATCAAAAACAATCCTTAGCGCCCCCAGCAACAAGGCTAAATTCGCCTCCTTCTCCGCCTCCATTTCCTTGATTGTCTTCTTCTTCTTCACCTTCTCATCCCCACTACCCGCCGTCTCCGCCGTCGCAAATGCCTTGAAAAGATACGCCCTCGCCGCCTCCGGCCGATGTACCTGCATCCCACCGACCCCCTGCGCCAGCCTCTCGTTGGTCCCGCTCCCATACCCGCCCACCGTAGCCTTCGCCCTCGCCGCCTCCAGATCCAGCCCCCAAACCGCCTCACCACCCAGCGCGACCTCAGCACCCGACCGCCGCAGCCGCTCGCTCAGCGCGCCCGCGACGCAGTTGCGCATCAGCCGCCACCGGTCGGGTCCGAGGAACACACCGCCGAACCAGCGCGTCAGCACGACCATGGTGTCGACGGCACCGGCCTCGCGCATGACACGCAGCATCAGGTCCCCGCAGCCGGTTTCGCCGTCGTCGAACGACGCTTCGCGAGCGCGGCCCGTCGAGCCGAAGATGCCGGCGCCTTCGGGCGGACGCAGACGGTACGCCCAGGCGTTGTGAGTGGCCGTTTGGAGGGATGGGTTGGCGGCGAGGAGGGAGGCGAGGAGGGTTTTCTGCTCGCTGGCTGAGGTGATGGGTGCGGCCCGGGCAATGAAGGTGGATTTTTTTAGGGAGAAAGGTTGGCTTGCTGTCCATGTGGGCTTGGGAGGAGCGGAGGAGAGTGTTGCGGTTGTGGAGATGGATTGTGTATTTGCGGCCTGGGATGGGAGTTGGGTCTTGGGGTCGTCCTGCTCCCCACCGACTGTCTCGTCGCCTCGCCACTCGTAGTCCCCGCGTTTAAGGACCGCTACCTCCCGACCCATCACCCGGACCCTGGGCTGTCCCTCTCCGTAGCCTTCTTCATCCGCACTGGGACCTTTATCCAAACCAAGGCTGACAGCCTTGGATCGCGAGTTGGCGCTGACAACAGCCTGGCCGAGACTCAGCCGACTCGACGGCGGCTGCTCTGGCATGGTGTGCCGTAAAAGCTCTACGGCAAATGCCAGAACGAGCGGGGCCCGGTTCGTTTTCAGGACCGTCTCGGCGATGCGCTCCTCGTCCATACACACAGGAAGGTCTAAAGAGCGTTCCAGCTCTTGAGGGCTCATCTCAAGTGGTCCACCCATAAACGGATTGACATCCGACCTTGCTCGTTTCGCCGACGTTGGAGATTCGAGCGGGGCGGCGCGCTTGTTGCTACCACCGACGTCTCCTCGCTTCACTACGGCCTTGCAGGCAGACTGCAACATCTTGGCGGCCTTGTTGTCCTTGATGGCGGACTCGACGGTGGGCAGGTCTGATTCTGCGATCTGCTTGATACTGAACAGCGGGAAATGCCAGCAGTAAGCTTCTCATGAACCTGAGAATATTGCATTCCTTTACCACGGCAATGCGCGATGTGGTTCCCGGTCTGGCCGTCAAGCACAGCAGGCAACTGAACATGAGATCTCACCTTCGTAGATTCACAGCCTGCAAGGCCTTGATGTGCGCCATTGCCTGCATCATGGGGATTTTGCGGCTGACTGTTAACAGCCGCAGCAGCTCTTGGAGGTCCTGCTGCGTTGCCATTTTTGAGTAGGAAGCGAACCTTGGATGTTTCGTTCTAAGCTGGTGGAAGTTGGGCGAGTGTGAGTGAATCTGGGAAGCTTGGAAGCTGGGGGCCCCTGCCATTGAGTGCAAGCCGTTGAATGAAGGTTTTTGTGGGGCCTAGGGAAAGCTTGGGCAAATCAGAGTGAGGCGCAAAACGTCGACCTCCCACCTGGGACAGTACCATCTCCATGTCAACCCATGCTAATGTAATCGACCTGCTGGGGTTGAGGGGTTCAAGTCATCTCTGAAGCTTCGCACGATACTTTGGTTCATATGAGGACTTTCATCAATAAGTCCAACCTCACACAAACCACCATTATGGCGCTGAGAATATCCCAGCGAGGGCACGCCCAGCTGCGGATAGCTCTTCGATCTAAGCCATGCGCATTCACGGCTGGACTCTCAAATAGGAGCCATGTCTTTTCAGGAACCGCCAGCGGGCTCACTCGGAGCTTCAGCCTCTCGTCCACCTTCCAAGCAGCGAAAAAGGCATCGAAACAAGCACCTCGACTACAGAAACCTGCAACCCAACCGCCGCCGGCTACCAACCCATCAGCCAAACCAGTAGCCAAACCAGTAGCCAAACCAGTAGCCAAACCAGCAACCAAACCCCCACCACCACCAACCCGCCCACCTCCCGTCGGACCCCAGGACAACACCGCGCAGCCCCTAAACGTCCTCTTCCAGGAGCGCAAGGTCCCGCTCATCGGCGCCAGCCTCGCCGTCCTCTTCGTCAGCACCTACCTCAGCCTCCTGATAGTGTCCTTCTACAAAGACCCACCCAAGGAGCCAAAGGAGGCCACCAGCTGCACCTCATGCACCAAATGCACCAACACCGCCATCTCCGCGGCCGCCTACGACAAGTCCCTGGACTCGGAATGGATGATGGGCCTCGGCGCGCTGCGGCGCAAGCTCGCGACGCGCGCGCGGGGCCACGTGCTTGAGGTGGCTGTGGGGACGGGGCGGAACCTGGGGTACTACGACTGGAACGGGCTGGTGCCTGCTTCTTCGGAGGGGGAGGAGGAGGAGCAGGTGACGGCGGTGGAGAGGCGGCGTTTGAAGGACTTGGAGACGCAGCCGTGGGGCCAGGACGGGATAGTGGCTAGTTTCACCGGCGTCGACATCTCCCCCGACATGCTGGGCATGACGCGCGACCGGCTAAGGGAGAATGTGCCCGGGCTGGGGAAGGTCATGGCGAAGAGGAGGATCGAGCCAATGCCTGCGGACGGGGTCGCGGTGGATGTGCTGGATGGGAGGGTGAGGTTATTCGTGGGGGATGCGGAGAGGCAGTTGCCGCCGCCGGCGGTTTTGGCCGAGGGGGGTGGATCGCCGAGGAGGTACGATACAGTGGTGCAGACTTTTGGGCTGTGCAGTGTTGCGGATCCGGTTGGGCTGTTGACGAATGTGGCATCCATGGTGCAGCCGGATACGGGCCGCATCATCTTGCTGGAGCATGGGCGCAGCTGGATTGGGTGGATCAACAACTTGTTGGATCGGTTTGCTGGCAAGCATTTTGAGAAGTATGGATGTTGGTGGAACAGGGATATTGAGCAGCTGGTGCAGGAAGCAGCCAAGACTGTGCCGGGGCTGGAGCTGGTCAAGCTGGAGAGGCCCTTGATGCAGTACGGGACGACGCTGCTGATTGAGCTGAGGGTGGGAAGACAACCTGCTAATGGGGAGGTCCCGGCGGACAAGAAGGCGTAGAAATGGTATGGGAGTAACTTGAACTACAAATAGTTGTAGCATATCTTGAAATACAAGGGTACGAGCGAGGAATTGTAAATATATGGATGGGATAGGGGAATAAATTGTGTACTGTTAGGGGGCTTATCCAAGCAGAAGTTGGGATCCAAGATAAACCAGCGTCAAGATGAAGGAGCAAGGCTTATTTTGCCACAGTAATCCAAGGCAAGGCCAAATCCAGGTGTCACCTTGTTACCCTGGTGGTGCGAGTGGTAAGATGGTGTGTAGCAGCGTTGTAAAGCAGTTTTTTTTTTTAAAAAAAAAAAAAAAAGGGTCACCCAGATTTAGCATTTAGTTTGGGCCGTCGACAGCCACGGCAAAGCATTCGACAGCGGTAGCCAAAAGCAAGGGTGATTAACACTAGGAATGCACCTCGCTACCTAGTGAGGTAAAGAAGAACGGCAAAAAGAACAAGTGTTGTTATTCATTACTCGGATACGGGGAATCGAACCCCGGGCCCCTGAGTGCTCGATCTTGATGAGAAGATATTGAGAGTCAGAAATGTTACCGTTACACCATACCCGATGAACAGTTGTTGTTTGTTGAAAATCCTAACCTTCCCCTTCGCTTAGGTATGGCTCCACAGCCAACTGTGGAAATAACGCAGGTCAGAAGTCAGACTGATGGGACACACAACCAAGCCAAACCCAGTGATAGTCAATAGGCATCTGCAACCATCAACTCGACCACACTACAAACTTCACAGGAGACATTTGTGACAGGGGATTTTGATTGTATTCTTCTGTTCCCTCGCCATGCAACACGACTACACCAAGATACAAAAACACAGACTGACGACGCCGCCCCCTTCCGAGTTCATTCCCTAGCACCACCAAGATCAGGCCGGGTGAGCAGCGTCATGTCTTTCCGTCTCCTCTTGTCCATCATCTCCCATCCTCAGACCACACCCGATAAAACAAACAGTGTGTGCTGAGCAGAAATCGGCCAGATATCTTAGTCGTAGTGTTACATGTACAAGAGGTTCCGTCCTCGCTAACAAAAAAAAGCAGCGCGCCAACAAAACATCCAAGAGAAAGAGCCCGAGCTAGATCCAGGTATCACCCCTTGCGTCCATCTCTTTTTCTACTCCCGTCCGTTTCCCGTTTCCGGTCCCCCAATTTTATTTTTCTTCTCTCTTCTCTCCCGACCCATCTAAAGTCTTGAACGCGATCGGAAATCAAAAGGACCAAAGCTCAAGCGCGATTGCCGACCGTATTCCAGGCGCGACACCCTTTTGCGAACCCTCAAAGTACCAGATGCCGAGAGACAATATTGGAGACCCCCCCTTTTTTGGGACCCAATGTCAACCCAACCAATCGTGCAGCCGCGGCCGCAGCCGCAGTTGCATTGTAAGCGTCGACTCCTCCAAACGAGTCGAGGACGCTAACGACGAACGCGGCCCCCAAAAACGTAACAGAAAAGCAGCAACGCTGAGAGTAACTAATGAGAAGAGAAAAGCCCAAAAAAAACCATCGTGCGGATATGAATGCGATGCGCCAAACCCAAACCGAAACCATCCGCCCCTGTGTGGTGCAAGCAAAAAACGCCCCGAACCAAACCAACCACCAGCCCATATCCGCTAAGTCATAAAACGCCTGAGACCCAGCTTCGTCTATGGGGAGGAAGCAACCGCTGCCTGCCTGCCTGCCGTCGCCTTCCTTTGTTTTCCGAGACCCGCGCAAGAAAAATAAGAGATGGAGGGAAGATGTGATCCAAACAAAGAACAGAAACAGAAATAAAAAGCTACCCGCATGTCATGTCTCGCCGCCATCGTACACACCTCACTCCAAATTGCGACCCTAAGACATAAAAGCATAGCTAGTAGTCACTCAACAGCCCATCCAACTCATCCAACTCAACGTTCTCCGGACTCCGATCCCACTCGAGCATATTCTCAAGCCTCAGCCAGCTCTCGGCCTCACTGTTATCTTTCTTGCCCATACCAAGACTGAGTGATACAGGCATTGCCATAGGCCCCATAGTCGACGGTCGGATAGCTGGGCTTGTTGCAAACGTGATAGGACCCATGCCTGACATGATCGTCTTTTCGCCAAACAGCCCGCTGTCATCCTTGCCACAGTACTCCATGTCCATACCATTGGCCACATGCAGCGAAGTCGATGATGGCGCGGCGGAGAGCATGTCGCCCCGCAGCTTGCGTTTCTGCAAGCCGTCGGCTGTCTGCGTAAACTCCTTCTCGTCCTTCTCAAGTGGTGGCGACGCGCCCCGGTGGTTCCGCAGCGGTGGGCCCCTGGAGCTTGAGAAGTGATGGTGGCCGTTGGGCATGCCAGGGAAGTGGCGCAGAGAAAGCGACCCAATGGGCGTGGTTGGCATGGCAACATCGTCGTCCATGTCGTCGAACTCGGGGCTCGACAGGTCGACCTCTGGGCTCGGGCTGAGTTCGCGCCGGCGCTCCGCATCATCGGCATCCTCGGAACCCGAGGTCGCGCTAGACAAACTGGGCGATATTATCGCCCGCGCGTGTGCAAGCTGACTGAGGGTGGCTACCTGGGCCGGGTCAGGGAGCGGCTGGTGGGGACATGTGGCGAGGTAGAAATACGTGCGCCGCGGGTGTATAGACTCGAGCTCCTTGGAAAGCGGGCAGGGAGCCAGCGCAGTCCAGCAGGTACGCTTGAGGTAGCTTGCTAACCGTGATGAAATGATGGCGCAGGGATTCGCAGACCTAAAGAGTAGAAGATGTGTAAGTGACTGCATGGACATGCGACCAACGTCAAAAGGACGGACGGATGGGAACACATACTGTTGAACGATCTTGAGCTGCTGCATCAGGACGGCCGCAAGCTCCTTGACAAGATGCGGTCGGTTCCCGGTATTTTGTAGCTGGACGATCACCGCTTCGACAATTTCGTCGTTGATGCCCTCCAAGTCCATCTTCTTGGGCGGGGCAGCGTCCTCGTCCTCGTCCATCTCGATAGACGGTTGCTCGGCGCCGGGTGACGGCGGTGGCGTGTGGTCGAAGCGAACAGTCTCGTCGCGCCGCTTGGGGAGCGGTTCAGCAGTTGGCGCACCGTCCATGTCATCACTATGCGCGCGCTTCAATTTCTTGTTGGGTGGGGGTTCTTCTCTTGAGGGTGACGCCATAGCTGTTGGTGAGGGTGTTGTGCGGGCGCTGTTGTTAGACCTCCTCTCGATAGCTCGATTTGCGGCGGCAGCTCGGGCGGCGTTGGTGACGGGGATGTGGATGCCGAGGGATGGGAGTGATAGCGATTTGCGACGAGTGTTGTAAGGCATGATGGCGAAATCTGAAAGGCGACAGACGGGTGGGAGATGCGACTGATTTACAGGATGTGACGCGATTGTCTGATATGCTAAGGCCTGGTCGGGGCGTCTCGTCTGGCTGGTTTGGGGGCTTCGGCTGAGATGGAGATCGCCAATGCTGCTATTTTTTTGGAACCGCGCCAAGGAATCGATCGTGCACGTCGTTTGGCGTTGTCGAGTCGCAGGAGACCGGGGAATAACAAAAAAAAAAAAGAAATGCAGCGGAACCCCAAGACAGCAAAACAGGCAGAAGGACCACGTTGAAGCTGAGGAGTATAGGGGCGAGGCGTGGAAGGCGGAAAAGGTGTTTGGCGGAGTGCTCGGGAATGAGACAGGAGAGGATGGGGATGGGGATGGAGGCGTAAAGCGGTGGTGTGGTGTCGCTGTAACTTTTTTTTTGGGCTTCCGTTTGGAGTGGGAATGAGTCGGGAGCGTTTGGGATGCTGGAAGGGGGGCGACGGGGTCGAGCTGCCTGCAAGTCCCAGGTGCGCCAAGAAGAGCCAAGCCAAGGCTGGCAGGCTGCAGACTGGCTCACTGGCACTGACTCGACAGGGGGGAAGGGGGGGGGCAGGCAGGACCGGGACCGCCAGGACAGGGATGGTGAGGTTGAGCCGTCAAGAAAATGGCCAAAAGGCGGTATGATTCCCACTCTGTGGAGTCAAGCTGGCTGCACACCCACATCTCGCCAGCGGTCCATCCACACGCACTAATTGACTGAGAGTGGCCGTTCGCCGGCTTTCTCGCAGCAGGCAAAAGGCAGTCGTGCATCATTGCAACACGGAAACCTGGCGAGAGAGGCTCGCTTTCAGCCTTTCCAGCTCTAGTCTCCCGTATCCAACGAAAACACAGCTGGGAGAGAGGCATCCACATGAAGGTTCCACAGCAATTACCATGACATTGAATCTTGGTCATTCGCCCTTCAGGGGAAATGGCAGCCAATAGGAGCACGCTAGAAAGCAAAAGGAACAAGAGAACCACTGCAGGTTGCGGCCTCCCTCTGACCTCCAATGCGCTTTGGCGGCCTGAATAGGGGGAGGTCATAGGAGGCGAATCAAAGCAGAAGAAGCAAAGAAGGCGGGCAAAATACCCCTAAAATGCAACGAACATCATCCTGACATCAAGCTGTTCTCTGCCATCCCACCATGAGCGTGAGCGCGGGCGTGAAACGAGTAGCAAACCGAGGAGGCGGAAATTTGTGCGTGATATATTGCAGTCGCCTCTTCCTCGGCCCAGTGACATATGCAATTACCTACCATATTACCATCGTGAACACTCGGATCCGAGTACCTTCAGTGCTCCAACGGGGGGCCGGTTGACATACAGAATATCCCGTCTCCAAAAACCCGACTCGCCTAGGCCACGCGGGAGAAATTGGAGGTTGCTCCCCAAGGCTGTTTCCGGGAGAGTGTTTCATTGGAACGTCGCGAATAAATCCTATCGCATCCGCACTGTAGCGATTCACCTTCCAAGGCGACAAAAATCCCTAAAGTCCCAAACCGCCACGGCAACCGCCGGAGCTACGAGGATCAAAAGGTAAAAGCAATGACAAAAGGGGTATTCTTCGTACGTTATTGTGCCGAAGCCAACGCGGGATGAGGCTGTCTGTCAATCTTCGTCGCCCGCGAGAAAGACCTCACGTGAAAGAATAAACGAAGAGGACTTGCAAGGGTGCTTGGGTTTGCGCTGCTCCATTCCTGCCAGTGCTTCGAAACCTCGGTACAGGCAAGTGGGACCCGGAGCCCAGCTGCGCCAATCGTAGGCCGCGATCCATGCCCATGATGTCTCCTTTTGGCGTTGCACTGGGCCTGAACCTGGACGAAGAAAAGACCCCACCCGGAGCTAGCCACATCCCTTCCTTTTTCTTCTGCCCTTTTTCCCTTCCGTTCCCACCCCTTGCAAAATAATCCGTGGAACAAGCGAAGCGCCGTCAACAGACGGAATCACCATCTACCCATCCACAACAACAACGCAGCCGGTCATGTTTGTGTGGATGACCGCGCCGTAACCTCGCCAACCTCGTGCTTCGTGAATCAGTGATTCGTAGCCAAGGGCGCAATAATCTGCAACGATATAAGTAAAGCAATGCAGCGCCATCAGGTCCAGTGAGAGCCTCTGAGTCAACGACCTGCCCTCCTCCTCGGCTGCCTGCCCGCAAATCATCAGATACAAAAACCGACATGTGTGTTGCGCGAGCTGTTGGAGGGGGATGCGCGGCTGTTGCGTGATAGACCTGAGTGACGTCCCTC